AATAACAATTTACGATTTCATTCAATAAAGAATGAATGAAATCCTCCATGGATGAGTTCAGGACTTTTAGATACTTTTCTTCAACTTTGATTTTAAGGGCCCAATGAAATGTTAAAGGCAATATAAGCTTCCATAAATATAATTCAACCAGCTTGTGACAACAAAGCAGAAGGGAGTATTTCAAACTCTTAGAAGTTGGTATGCTTGGCACACACTAACTACGCTTATATCCTATGGCTATTAGGCATGGAAACTTTCTATGGAATATCCATTACTCACTCCCTCTGCTCTGAACACATAACCTGTCAGAAAAATGGTGTGGGGAGGGGTTCAGAGGAAGCCAAACTTAAAAAGCAGGAAAAGGCAGAGACAAGTAAATTCGTTGAAGATTTACACCATGTTTGCAATGGCTTCTTTCATTTAATTTTCCCTGAGTTTTTAAATTAGCAAATATACTGGACCCGGAATGGAAACATATGGAGGAAAACAGAAAAACAAACAAACAAAAAAACAAAGCCGTGCAAATCTCTGTGACTTGTACAATAGCTTGTACAATTGGTCTTTGCATTTGAGTATCTGAATGAACTGTGGTCTGCTTTTCATTACTCTCCATCTGGAGCTGTTGCCTGCTTTGTTCAGCAATTTCTGGTCATTTTGGCCTGATGGTGACTGTTTTGTTTTATGTTGCCATATTTTACAGAATGAGAGCTGCCACAGTCACCACCCAAGGAAGAACAAGCTTGAAAACGAGAGGTTATGTTGAAAGAGTTCTCCATGACCCCTTCCAGAATAAAGAGTGTGATTCTCTGGGCCTGCCTACTGTACATAACTTCAGGGTGTGAGTTGGAAACAAGACAAAAGCCTTTCTTTCAGATGCTAAGATAGGATAAGAATCTAACATTGGGCTAAGACATCAAGGGTCATTTTGATGCTTTTTCTTTTCATCTCCAAGCAGACTAGTGCATTTAGTTCCTCACACTCCACTAAACACTAACTTGCATGTCAATATGCTGTTTGTGTAACAGCTCATGAAAAACTGAACTCATATCATATCTTTAAGAGAAAAAATAAATAAATCCTGTCTTCCTAATATTTGGTTTTAATTGCATACCCTTAGTCTGGAGGCAAAGTTGCAAATGATTCAGAAGCAAGTGTCTCAAAGAAGACCAAATCCAATTTGCATTCTCTAATGACAAGCTCCATTCTGTTAGTGATTTTGTTTGAAAAAGCCACCTCACCCTTTCCATCTCCGTCCTTGAGAAAGCCGCAGTCAAGAAGAACTCAATTTCTGCCCATTATTTAAAACAAAAACAAAAACCATAGCATTCTCTCCCAATCTATCACTATTTTCATCTGACATTAGTTTACAAAAAACAAAGAAACATATAGTCATAAGCTACTCATATTTCATAAGAAGAACTACCAAATATAAATGAAACCAGATCAATGTTTCCAAGAATTGTTTTCTGTTTGCTTTTCTTTGTTTTATATGAAAAGACAACGGATTTGGAGACACGTAAAGTTAATAATAACCTATCACCCATATTCCAACCACCCTTAACACATTTTTTTTGCTTAATATTTCCAGTATTTCATATCACAGCTGACAATTGGCATTGTTGAGTGTCATCTATGTATGTCTCATTTAATCATCAACTCAGGCCCTATTATCATCATCATTTTACTTTTTAAAAAATTTTTAACGTTTATTTATTATTGAGAGACAGAGAAACAGAGTGCAAGCTGGGGAGGGGCAGAGAGAGGGGGAGAAACAGGATCCAAAGCAGGCTCTAGTCTCTGAGCTGTCAGCACAGAGCCTGACACCGGGCTGGAACCCACAAACCCTGAGATCATGACCTGAGCCGAAGTCGGATGCTTAACCAACTGAGGAACCAAGGCACCCTTATCATCATCATTTTATAGGTGGGAGACTGAGGCACCCAGCAAAGTTGAGTCATTTACCACAGGGTGCCCAGCTACTAAGTGGAAAGGCGGTGTTCAAAGTCCGCAGTCTGGCTTGCCCACAGACATAACCATAAGTAATACTCTCAAATATGTACCTAGCTCTGTATTTATTTTACACATTATTTTATATTCCTCTCTATTCATTTAACTTCCTATAATAAACATGCTCATAGTCTGACATAGTGTAAGTCTTCTTTCCTATCTCTATAATGGTTGGATCAGTTCTATATGCTCCATAAGCTAGAATTGGGAGGTTGCCTATATTTGTTCTACTGTGGAGAATGAAAGAGGGCTAAGAATGTGCATAGGTACACATTCTTTCCAAATTTGTTTGAATACAATACGTGGGAAAACATTCTCAGTGTAATTACTAGTATCAATAGTATTCCCTATATCGTTCTTTCTACACTGACATTTTTAAATGTCTCTACCACTTTCAGATGATACCAGTGAAGATGGGTGAACCAGATGCAAAGGAACTACCATTGCATGGCCTGCATGAAATAACGTCAGCTTCCTAAGTGCATATAAGCTATCATGACTTTCACTTGCATGTTACCCATTGTTTCCTAAGTCACCCTGAGTCACACTGCTCCTTTGTAGCCCACTCAAGTTTTCTTTTTCCTTCTAATACCTCTTCTCCCTATGGACCTATAGTGGGGAGTCCTTGCTCCTAAGTCCATCTGCTTTCCTTCCTACCTAAATCTCCAGTTTAGAATCTTTCATCACACAATTTTATAACCAGTGAATCTTCATTTTCCCTGTCATCTACAGAGGCCCAGTATTATTGCTCACAAACACCTCTGGGTCAGTTACTTTCTCCAATACTGTTCCCGCTTCAATTCTTGGTGATTTCACTCAATATTTGCGTGGTTGTTTCAATGCCTGCTTTTATCAGTTCCTTGAACTCCTCAGCGATGTCACATATTCCTTCCAACCTCAGAGGCATGCTTCCACGTTATCATTAACAACTATAAACAATTTTCCATAAATACAACTGCTGCCTCTACCCAAACCAGTAGTTTGTACCAGCAACCATTTCAAGGGCCATTTTTTTCTGAAAGGAATTCTCAAAATAGGACTCAGAATACCATTAAAATAGTATTTTTCCTCAAACAAAAAAGTGACAGGAGTGCCTTTCTGATCATGAGTGTTTAACTTTTAGGATACCCAGCTCCACCTGCTTGATAAAGGCTGTAATTCAGAATCACTACTGTTAATCCACAGACTCCAAATGCTGAGGCCAGAAAAGGCACCTAGAGACTTTTATTCATATTATGTATGATGATACATTAACTCCACCTTCTTCAAACTACCCTCAAGGCCCTCTGCCCTCCCATGAAGTCATCTTTAGCTGCCCCTTCTATTAAATGATCTTCCTAGGTGGTTCCGTGGTCCCTCTCTTCCTTCCTTCCTTCTTTTCTCTCTCCCTTTCCTCCCTACTTCCCTCCTTCCTTCATCTCCTTCTGTATTTATCAGTGCTTATTATCAGACCAGGAGTCCCCAAAGTACTTTTTAAATGCATATTACAATGGATAAAAATATTTTGTAACAGCAACCCAAAATTTACATATTTATATGTTTAAAATGCACGCATTTGTAAAATTATACTAATATGCTCTAAACCACACAGAGAAAGTTGATATAAAAACAAAGAGGGATATGTTTTAACATTTTCATCTAGAATCCCCCCAAAGACAGGTATTCCTCTGCAACATGTCACTTTAAAGATAAACTTTCTATCTTACACAGGTCCTGTCTTCATTGAGTTTAAGTCTAATTGGAGAAAGAGACAGGGAAAGAGGGAGAAAGAATTAAATAAGTAGTTACAAGAAAATGTAGATTGGAGTGTTAGGGGGTTCTATTCTAGTTATGTGGCTCTGCTCAATTACATTCTGAAACTCTTTCTCTCAAACATGGACCTTTCCCATGCCTGTCCATTCTGACTTGCCTTTATAAACGTTATCCCCCCAAAAGGAATCTCCATCTCCTTCTCTCACAGGATTTTATGTATATCTCTACTATAGATACCTCTGTTACACTTTCACGTGGTTTAGGCTGATACACTGATTCTAATAAGTATGTTAGGGTTAGTTTCTTGGTCTTCTTGTTGCTTTCCTTTTCAAACTGAACTATTAGATGACAGAAAGCACGTCTTATTGTTTTTTGTCTTGGAGTACCAAAGTGCCTGTGCATTTGTGAGTTTACAGGAACATGGAATGTAGCGTTGTTGTTGTTGTTTTTAATTGCTGAATAGAACCTAAATACTGTTACCGAACTAGGCTAGGATATATATATCTTCAGTGTGTAAGTGCCTGTTCCTAAAACATATGCACATTAGATCTGTATGTGAAATAGGGGCAGTGTTTAGAATGATCTTGGCTCTACCATACTTCTTGATGTCAGTATCATAAGAAAGGTTGGATTACAGCAACAACAAATAACATATGTTATAAGAAGCATTCCAATTTTCTAGTAAGAACTGAGTCATGCAAGAGAGACCATACAAATTTCACAAATAATATAAAATGCAACTCTTGAAAGAGTATGGGGTTCCTAGAAATTAAGAAACATGAGTCACAGATATAGTCAAATAACTTCAGAAATGTTTCCGGTGGGGAGTGGGGGAGAAAACAAGCCTTAATAAGATACCAACACAGACCCCGAGAGATGCTGACGGCAGAAGCTTAAACACAATGGGCCCATCAGTAAATTCATTCCTAGTCAACCAATGTTGCTAAAGCTTTAAGGAACAGATAAATTAAAATGTGCTCTGCATGGGGAAGTTCTCCCCAGAGTTCCTCACTTTTATATAGGAAATCAATTTGCATCACTGATGATATCATTCAAATCAGACAACCCAAAGTTGTTAAGAGGTAATTTCGTTTTACGCTGAAGCAAATTTAATACTTGTTCTGATTTGTGATTTTCATTTTGTTTGTTAATGAAAAAAATTAATGAACAATGTTACTAGAAATACAACTCATCAAAGTATTGGCATTATTAAAGAGGTCTGCCATTTTCCATACATGGTATCACTGTGCAGCTGGTGTCTGGGCTTCTGCTTTGGAGGAGACATCAATGGAAGGGCGTAGGCAAGGGCCCAGGGTACGGGTGCTCTTACACATACCTTTGCACTGATTTGTGTTTTTGTCCAGAATTGCCTTTGTGGATACAATTTTTCCATACCTGGGAGAGAGAGAAAAAAAATACCATGTTATTATAGCCTGATGAAGATGCTTAAAATACCTTAATGAACATTGGTGCACACACAATTGCACAGGAATAAACCAAGAAAACAAGCACTGTACTCCCATTTCACACCTGGATGATCATGTTTCACCAGTTCTTTATAATTCGAGAATGTGCTTCCCTACGTAATCACTGGGTTGTGCCTTCAAAAATAAACCTGTCAGGCTGTCATAGGTGGCTGAAAGGGGGTTGTGTGTAACTGAGATCAAAGTAAATCACACTGTGCGTTGCTGGCGAAAAGCACAGACCTTGGCACCAGCTTGGACAGGGCTTACATAGAGCTCTGACACTCACCTAGTGTTGTAACGCTGAGCGGCTTAACACAACTTCTCCAAACTTTTATTTTTTTTCGCCTATAAAAATTAGAATTGTAATACTTCCCTTTTGGGATTTGGGAGAGGGTTAAATTGAAAGATTAAGATTTGCTAGCAGTGTTCCTAAGGTACATAGGATATGTATATATATTTTTGCTATTAAAAACATATACTGTGAGTTAACAGAGACCAAAGCCTGAGTTTTGTATTCTCAGTGCCTGCCACCATATGTAATAGGAGCTCAATAAATATTTGCAATAAACAAATGAATGATACGGGTAATCCAATGGCACTTCATCTACAATGAAGTTTCTACCATAAATACATGTAAGCATATTCATTATTCTATCATATCTTGCAGAAGACCTAGTCTAGGTTCCATTTTTTTTTGAAGATGGGTAATATGGAAAATGAAATTCAATCTCTTTAAGCCTGTTTCCTGAGGCATAAATGATAGATCCGAAGAAAATAATTTCTAAAACCCTGCACTTCCTTAGGATTCCACGAAGGATGCTTCTCAATCATCATACAAACATGGAGAAATTATAATGCAAATTTAAGCACCAAGTTTACTAATTACTCATTCTCATGTTCAAGATTTCAGCCATGTCACAAAATATTTGGCAAGTTTTGTTTTAATTCTGTGTTCCTAAGCAAGTGTGAGAATATATGACAAATAGAAAATATCCCATGTAGTAATAAACTAGCTTCTCTGTCACCACTGTTTCTTTTGCATTTATAACCCCCTCTTATTATATCATTAATTCTCCAGAGTATTTTAGTGGTTATTTATTAATATTCTAGTGTTGATAATATCATTGTGCTAGAAATGCCTTTGCTTCTTTTTTTCCCCCAGACGTTTTGACCAAGGATGGGCTGAAGGTCCTCTAGAAATTGATGGGATTAATTCCATCATGAAAGCGATACCACTGATATCTTTGAAAATCATTCCAATAGGAGCCGACCTATTAATAGGTCATAATAGGAACTAGAATATTTGTATATACTTAGATGAAGGGGTCTAAGATAATTCCCACCAGTCATCTCCATGCTCCTTGTTAAGGTCAGCCAGACTGGCCTGAAGCTGTCCAGTACTGAATTGAATAGATTCTGCCATCATAATCCTGACATTTCAGCTACTGCTGCATTTTCTACACCATTACAGCTATAACTCTACAGTTACCTAAACCAAAGAGAGCTGGGGCTGAGAGTGTCTCCTACTATTTTGCAGATATAGAAAGTATAGTCTACAGGATCAGTAATTTGATCAAAATCACATAATTTGCAAAAGTTACAGGAGGGACCTGAATATGCAATTCTTAAAATTGGTGCAGTGCTTAACTATTATATCATCTGCCTCAAAACAGAGAAGCTACGTATATCAACTCTTCTAGTTAAATCAACCTTCATGTTTTTGGGAAACCGGGTATTAGAGTCCAAGGCAATAGTGGTTAATATACTGTGGCAACAGATGGCCAGGGCTCACGTCTCATTTCAGCCTGGGTATATCTGATTGGCTAAGTAAGCCTTAGGTGTGCTTTGTATCATTTCTCTACAATTATATAAATCTATTTAGTTAAACATTCAGATTATTATTTAAAATTATATACATCTATATATAAATATATAAAATCGTATCTGGGGTTGTTATAAGGGTTATAAGGGTTAAGTAAGGTTTACTTAAAATGAGGATAACAGCACTCATTAAATATTAGCTCTCCTGGCAATTATTTCCTTCTTGTTATCACCTATGTAAAAATGTTTCTAGTCCTTGGTATTCTCTGAGATAGATAATAAATGGAAGGGGTTAAAGTTCTGTCCCAAATGAAAGCTTAAAATATTACTATGCAGACTGTCAAAATCTTACACTAAGAAACTTGGCAGGTAAAATTATTTACAGAAACTATAATTTACATTGACCATTTATATCGTTATTTTTAATATTAGGGTTGACATTACTATGTTCTCACTGTACTTAATCATACAAATACCCCCATAAGTTCAAAGCTTTTGTGTTTTTGGTATGTACTACTAAAATGTCTATTACTTCATGCCTATTATGTTTTTCAAAGTTTATTTGTTTGTTTTTAGAGAAAGAAAGTTCAGGCAAGTGAGGGGCAGAGAGACAGGGAGAGAGAGAATTCCAAGCAGGATCCACACCATCTGCGCAGAGTTCAACTTGGGGCTTAATCTTGCAAACTATGTGATCATGGCCTGAGCTGAGATCAAGAGTCAGATGCTTAACAAACTGAGCCCCTCAGGTGCCCCATGTCTATTATCACTCAAGCCTGCTTCCTTCAAAATTCCTCATCCACCCTTCTTCCTCCCCCCACTCCCGCCACAACCAAGGAACACATATAGCCTCTCCTTCAAGTTCTATTTCATCCCAAGAGTTTCTCTTTTAGGAAAAAAACCAGTAAAATCCTCTCATATTTGAACTGTCTTTTTACAATGGTTCAAGGTGTCTATAATTGCACCTATGAATGACAGTAATGTTGGCTAAATTTGGGCTATTCGGGCAAGAAAACATTTGCAAGATTACACGTATCTTAGTGTAGAAAACAAAAAGGGAGAAGAAAGAGAACATCTGCTGAAACTTGGTTTCCACACAAAGTACCATTAATATAGTATGGGAGTAGTAAAAACCAGAGGAAGAAAAAGAATTTAAAACATTTATAACCATCTCACATCAGGCACACAAACCCTTAAGACAAAAATCCTTCTTAATTGGTTTCTAAAGCTACTCCTGAAATTTTTATATATAAAGTATCTTCCAAATTAAAACTTAGCTCTCTCTTTTAAAGAGGAAATTAAAAATTATTGTATCTCATAGTGAATTACATCTCCCAATGGGACATTTAGCCTATGGTGTGCATACTGTCCTAGTATAACAATATTACTCTGATGTCTTTCTTTTCCTTCATTAAATGTGGAATATGTAAAAAAAAATTAGTCATCATTTTTTTACAACCCAAAAAGAAAAAGAAAAAAAAAAAGAAATTCTTTCCCATGGAAAGCGTCTGTGAATATTTTGGCAAGCCACTTTAAAAACAATTAATGTTTATTTTTGAGAGAGAGAGAGAGAGAGAGAGAGAGAGTTTGTGAGCAGGGAAGGGGCACAGAGAGAGGGAGACACAGAATCTGAAGCAGGCTCCAGGCTCTGAGCTGTCAGCAGAGAACCTGATGCAGGACTTGAACTCACGAACTGCGAGATCATGACCTGAGCAGAAGCCGGATGCTTAACTGACTGAGCCACCCAGAGGCCCCTCAAGCAACTTTTCTCTAAAACAAAATTTTATGTCCCAGGATGCATTATAATACTACTGTAAATGGAAAATCACTCACACACACACACACACACACACACACACACATCAAAAAGCAAATCATGTTATGTCTTGATTTCCCTGTTTCCTAATTACATTCGAGGTGAGGCTTTCCAATAGCACCAAATCTCAAAACAATAGGATACGATTGAGCATACCTGACTCAGCCACTAACCTAACTAGAGTTAAAGGAATGTGATTCTTTGGCTCAGTTACAGTATTCTGCATTAACAATTATTTCACAAAGCTGGAATATGCTTTAAACATCAAGAGAAGGTATTTAATGGGCCATTGGTTCCAGTTCATGTTTGAACTCTCATGATGACAAACAGGTACTTTCCGCGTGACTGGTGCTGTATTCTCCAAAGAGAGTTTGTATTCTCTTTGTATTCTGCAAAGTCAACATCTGATGGAGGTAAATAAAGTGTAGACATTTTTTAAGACCCAAACCACCATAAACAGAAAAGCCATCCATGTACTATCCCCGTGAAGAATTCTATTAAACATTTCCTAGCTTCTGCACAGCCAAGGAAACAACCCAGAAAATTAATAGGCAACCAACGGAATGGGAAAAGATAGTTGCAAATGACATATCAGATAAAGGGTTAATATCCAGAATCTATAAGGAACTCACCAAACTACACGCCCGAAAAACAAACAACCCAGTGAAGAAATGGGCAGAAGACATGAACAGACACTTCTCCAAAGAGGACATCCAGATGGCCAACAGACACA